TTATAATTTTCTAATCCTAAATCTAGTCGCCAGAAGCAAAACGTAATGCTATAAACGAACTACAGCCGAGTACAGCAGCACGACTTCAACGTCACAACAACTTAAGATCCATATTCAAAAAGTTGAAGCGTTTGTTTGAACAGTTTGCAGGAGGCAGGGACTTGCTTTCAAGCAGAACACGGCAAAGAAACTTAGAGGAGTGTTTACGTGTTCGGTGTCATGACGTACAACGGCCTCGACAACTTCTGTAGTCCTATTCAGCCACTTGGTAACAACCATCGTTTTTCAGACACGTAAACTCTTCAGAAATCACCAGCGGGGTCACTGCTGATGTGTTTAATGTCGTAGAACAAAACGTGATCTGTCTCTTCAATGTGTTTCAACCACAGACCTTATTTCCAGCTATTTTCCTAAACCCTAAGGAGAAATCCCGTTGACTCTGAGACGAGGGAACAGGAAGTGGTAAAATGCTTACTCACTCCCGGGTTTTAGGACTCGTCACTGCACCACTCTATAGGCTCGTCTCAAGACCCCTCCTCGACTCCTCTCTTCCCATCCTCCGGGACTTGACCCGGAAATCGATCAAGACGCGCCATTTTGAAGGACGTCCCAATAGCTGAAATGCACACGGAGGAGTCGAGGAGGGGGGAGGGAGGAGGGGGGCGGGAGGAGACCCACCTTCCCAGCTGGTCGATTTCAACACAGGAAAACGGAGAACTGGAAGATGAGTGGAAAAGCGTCACATAAATGTCTAAGTGCTCACAGCTCCATGGGAAATATTATGTGCAATTCATTTCTTAAGGTTATACTAACAATTTAAGTCATGTTTAATGATCTTGAACGTCACTAAAACATAGCTATTAAGAAAGCTATTTTATAAATGGCTAGATCTTGATAAATAAGAATTATTTTATAGTTTTGTGTTCAAATATTCAGGAGTTCAATTATTTAAAATTCACAGTCCTGAATGTGTGGATCTACAGGACACACATTTTCAGAGTAAAGGCTTTCACATTATAATTTTATTGAAATGTACATTTTACACCACAACGGAACACAAAAGCAGGACCAACCATCATACATTGAATTCCTTGACTAACAGGAGAAAGATTCATTCATTTAAATAAATATTTAACAACAAATGGGCCGGTTCTAAGGGGTTATTCAGTTAAGCCCGATGAGAGGGGTTACAGCTGTGCCGTGTCATCATTAACAGACGACGTTTGAGTGAACGAGGACGTCCCAATTAATATCTGAGGACTCCTCTGTCCTCGCGTCTCCTCCTCGTGTCTCTCGCTCGCATCTTACGGAGGCGGAGCTAAGACGCAAGGAAGGGACGCGAGTGAGGGAAAGGAGGAGGTGAAATATTCAATCGAGACGAGCCTTATGCCGGTATCAGTGCAGCCTTTATCAACATCACATTGTCTTCCTTCCCCCCCAGGCTCCAGTGCCATGCCCTACAAGAGGAACCCGATGCGTGCGGAGCGTTGCTGCAGCCTCGCCCGGCACCTGGTGGCGCTGCTGTCCGACCCGCTGCAGACCGCCTCCGTCCAGTGGCTGGAGAGGACGCTGGACGACAGCGCCAACAGGTCAACGCCGCACGCAAACACACGCACAGATAACTGACTCAGCTGAAGGGGTTTTCTCTCTTGCTTCCTCTTCTGATAAACCAATGTTTCTGTTGGGAAAATACTGAATGTACTCTTCCAATATCAGAGTAGCACATGATAACAAAGCCCCAACTGTAACTGCGTACATGAGAAGATGTATGATTAAGAGAAGATAAGATAGGACTTTATTCATCCCGAAGGAAATTGTTTTTTTTTTACAATAAACACAGCAGCATAATAATATATATATATATATATATATATATATACTAATGTAAATATTAACAGTATTTAACATTTAGTAGTGCAAAAACCGTAGTGGTAGTTACGTAATTGCACGTTATTTATCGAACATTTTTACCTAGAAGAGCATCAGGACTGTTTGAGGCATATGATAGCTGTGTGATTAACATGAGGATTCAGCCTCTATGGAGACAGACATCAAGCATGCTCATTTCTGACATGGAGCTAATCTGAAGTAAACATTGAATACTGCTTTCTATTCCTCCATCTTGTGACTGTGTAACTCCCTCTCTTGGATATCAGCATGTGAAGGACACTGCTCAGGAACTAGTTGATGCTCTGTATGTTACGACTACTTCCATTCTTGAGAGGATCATAAATACATGTCTCCTGTTTTGAAGCTCAAGCCGGGGACCAGTGATATTTTCCTAACAGTTTCCTTCTTGCTCATGTGCAGGAGGATCTCCCTGCCCGAGTCCTTCCTGACGGCGGACATCATCCTCAGCACTCTGCAGAACATCACAGAGGGGCTGGTGGTCTACCCCAAAGTCATCGAGAGGCACATCCGCCACGAGCTGCCCTTCATGGCCACAGAGAACATCATCATGGCCATGGTGAAGGCCGGAGGAAACAGACAGGTGCTGCACTTCATTCATGTTCTAAAGCTGCCATAAAATATATATTCATATTAGTTTCCTCTTTCACTAAGTTCAAGGCTTTTATTGTCATGTGTACATAGCCACAGTGTAGTTATGACAATTAAAAGCTTAGGTCACAGGCTCCTCCAACAGAGCAACAACAATAACACTGATAATAGTGCAAGTAAATAAAATAAAATAGAATAGAAATAGTGCAGTCTATATACAAGTAATTGGAATATTGATATATATAAGTTGCAGACAGATGAATATTATGGATGTTCTTTCAAAAGTTCAGGTGTTTAACATTCTTATGGCCTGTGTTAATTGTTTTGATCAATTTTGACCAATTTCAGTCCAGGTCATCACTACCAATTTGCATTATTTTCATGATTTTCACTTTTAATACAAGGCAAAAGGTTCAACAGATGGATTGGATATGTTTAGACAAAAGTTGACGTTACTAAACTTAAAATAAAACTCTGTCCTCCTTCAGGATTGCCACGAGAAGATCCGTGTTCTGTCCCAGGAGGCGGCGGCTGTGGTCAAAGAGGAGGGGGGGGACAACGACCTGCTGGCCAGAGTCCAGAGAGACCCTTACTTCGCCCCCATCCTCGGGCACCTGGACTCAGTCCTGGACCCCAAGACCTTCATCGGACGCGCCCCCCAGCAGGTAGAACACTGACAGCCCCCCCTGTCTTTATTTAACAGCTCTCAGGTTATGTTGAATATCTCTGTATTAATGACCTCACCACCTTCGAAAAACAAAACCTCACCTCTTCAAACTGGCTTTTAATGTGTGATTGTTGTTTTATTGGCTTTTAATGTGACTTTTATTATTTGTATTTGTTGTCCTTTTTTACTACCTCTGTAAAGCGACTTTGAGCACCTGTAAAAGCACTTACAAAATACATGGATATTATTAATGTTTGATTTTAAGAACAGGTTACAGGGCGGTCAAATCAAACCTATGAAAAATCCAAATCCAAAAATCAAGAGCTCTCCATTCCAGTTATTTCGTTTAAAAGATTCTTCCATTAAATGATATGACATTATCATCTTGTAACTTGATTCCTGGTAATTCATTTAACTATTTCAACGTTTTCTTTTTTACCAGGAATGCATTTGAATTTTATTTCTTCTACTTATTTCTCTGTTTTTCCAAGAAATAGGATAAGTGAGTTTTTATTAAGAGAAATATCAAAAGTAGACGACAGTTATCTTGTCTATCTGTTGAGGAACCTGCGATCTAAGTTCATACATTACATAATTACACCCTAGTTTTGTGATGACAATAACCCTTAAATGAATCAGTTATCTTATCTAGATATTTCACAGAAGCCGTTTGAGGCTTAACATTAACAAAATGTATGACAATGATTTAGTAAAATAATCTATTCCTTTCTTTATTTCTTCCCTGTTTTCTCGTCCAGGTCACCAGGTTCCTGTCTGAAGAAGTGCGCCCCCTGCTGGAGCCTTTTAAGGCTAAAATGGATGTCAAAATTGAGCTTGAGCTCTGATGTGCACATGTACGTGCACACACACACGCCAAAAGACAAGTCCTCATCATGTTGGTGGTGAACGCTGAATCACAAATAAAAAATACAATACATTTCTGTCACTGTTTTCATTTCTGCCTCCGGTTTTTAAATAAAAATGGACTAGAATGTGAAAACCATATGCTTTTATTTAAAAAAATAAATAAAACGGTGATTAATGTGCTCATAAATTATGTTTAGGACTTCATTTTATCTTTATTGACGGGGTACCAATGGTCATATTTGTTCCCGCTTCATAAAAATAAATGTAAATACTTTAGTGAATTATGAATCCGTTGCTTCCTTACTTAACATTCATAACGATCCTCCTGAGACTGCAGGCTGCTGAGGACGCGCTTCATTCCCTCTTTGCTCTACTGTGTGGTTTAGTGTTTAGACTTTGTGGTTTGCTTTCAGTTACCGGAAAGGTAAACTGTGAAACCGAGGAAACCCACTGTCAGATCTGGGAGGAACTCGTTCAAGAGGTTGTAAATCTAAAAGGCTCAAAGTTCAACCCAGCCCCTAAACAGAAGAAGCCATAACTTACCGTAACTAGCAGTGTAGTGCACCACCATGCAGGGAATAAAGGGGGGCTTTTAGTGAACAATCTCAACATTTTGGTTTGCTGTGACCATTTTATTGCACAGCTAACTCTTGAAATAACCACATAGGTAAGCATTGTGATCCGAGTGATGTTATATGGCTTATTCACTCTGTGTGTGTGAAACATTTGGACGGCAGCGTGTATCATCTGTTAGTGTCATTATGGTAAAAATGGCAATGATGGAATGAAGCTCTGAGTGAGGGTTCAACAGAGAGCTGCACCTTCACACAGCTTCTCTACAAGAACAAGTATTTTATTCGTGAGGTTTGTTGCTTCCCTGTGAGTTTTGCTTCACCTTTGACCTCCTGTGTTTGTAAGGCAGAAGTGTGTGTGGGGGTGTGTGTGTTTCCCCCCCATCTGCACCAACATGTGGCTGTGGGCGTTGCTCCCCATCTGCCAGGCTGTCTTTGGCACTCTGGGCATCTGGACTGTGTGAGTATTCAGCTTCCTTATTTAATAAGTGCTGTTGTCTTTGAGGTTTCATTTAATAATCACATCTCATGTATCCAAACTGTTCTACAGAGGAAGTGTTTCTTGAGAACTCAAATAAAATGTCCATTACTTTTAGCTAAATATGTAAAGTCTGTCCATTTTATTACAGTATACTGTTCAACATAACTTTAAGCTTATTATGTCAACGGTGTCTATCATCGTTGAACTGTTTTAACATGTTTCCATTGGCACTATAACTAAGTAATTATATTCATTATTTAGTTTTTAGCAGTTTTACCATTTATACATTACTTATAGCTCACTTTAAGACTTAGCTGCTCACTTGTAAATCTGAACAGGTGTTACAGCAGACACCATATGGAAATACTGTGTGTGTGTGTGTGTGTGTGTGTGTGTGTGTGTGTGTGTGTGTGTGTGTGTGTGTGTGTGTGTGTGTGTGTGTGTGTGTGTGTGTGTGTGTGTGTGTGTGTGTGTGTGTGTGTGTGTGTGTGTGTGTGTGTGTGTGTGTGTGTGTGTGTGTGTGTGTGTGTGTGTGTGTGTGTGTGTGTGTGTGTGTGTGTGTGTGTGTGTGTGTGGCTATCTCGATTCGACTGTATCCATTGGCCTGATATTTATTTTCACACATTTATGACTTTATACTCTTGTATTGACCTCTGATGGTTGTGGTGATTCACAATTATTGATACTATGTTGACTTCATGTAACTGTAATGTGTGTCAGACATATTTAAATTTTAAGACGGACAATAATGGTGTGGCCCCCCTGGCAGTAACTCCAAGGACACTCTTGGGGGTTATGGGCCCTGTGTTGAAGACCAATGTTCCACATTTTTAAACTTTTATAACATTTGGTAACATTATTTATACATATATCACATACAACAACCTAAAGCTGACATACTTTCTTAGTAGATCCATCATTGGTCTGTTTCTTGCTTAAAAGTCCAATAACTAAATATGAAATCAAGTTTTTTTCCCCATCCAAGCAAAATAAAAAATAAAATGATGAAGTAAAATGTATGCTCCTCTCTGTGAGCCTCTCCGCTCACACAGGGTTCAAGGGTGGCAGCCGGCGCCCTAACCACACCCCGCTGCCACACTCTCTAACACCCAATATGTGTGTTTGTTCCCTCTAGGTTCGCTGTTTCTGTATTAAATGGATCAGTGAACCTCACAGAAGGATTCCCTTACATCAGGTCTGTAAAAGTAACTAAGGTAAAACGTCATCCTGAATCCTAATGTAGGAGTTAATGTTAATAATAATGCTTCTTTTCTCTCACATCCTGTCAGTGAGTGTGGATCGTACAACCCTCAGAGCTGTCTCTTCTCCCAGATGTGCAACATCTGCTCTGTTTTAGGTCATTATGGATTTAATGATGTCAATGCTGGACTAGCAGAAGCTTTAACGCTGCTATTTATCTTTTCTTCCTTTATTGTGTACTTTATTTGGATTGTATAAAGTGAGCTTTCCCTTTTATTTAATACTGATTATTATTTGCTAGATCATACTTTAGTCTTCTTGACCCTGCAGTAGAACTGATTGTAATGTTTAAATCGTTAGGTTTTCGAGGTAATGGTTCTTTTGTTATCCCAACATGTAAACCAGTGGTTGTACTGTTTGTTGACAATGTTTTTGTTTGCACCTCTCTCTCTGTCTCGCAGCCCTGTGGATCGTCATCATCCGTTTCCAGCAGGTGAAGGACTTTGGTAATCATGGAAAGGCCAACATAGCCGGTATTATTCTGGGATTCATCTCCTCTGTAGGCATCTCCATCATTGGCAACTTCCAGGTAACAACTTACAAAAGTAAATAATAATCAAATCTAAGCCCTTTATTTTAAGCATGTATCCAGAAGACTGTTCGCTATCGGTTACGGAAAGAAACATAGTTAACCTTTGCCTTCTACAAGCCAGGCGCTCAATCGCTTTGTGCTGGAAACACGTTGGTTGCCCCTCCCTGGGCCACTGGCTAAACAATTTCACTTTGAGTCTGGCTCTTGAGAAACTCACATTTATACTAAGGAAGAAAGCTTCTGAACGTTACACCGTTTGGGAAGTGTTTTTGGAATTTATAAAAAATGGGGACATTGCAGGAGCTATGGAAGGTTAAAGTGCAAAGACTAAACTACTGTGAGGAAATGTTGATAATGGTTAATCTATTTGGAGAATTGTAAACTGTACTCTGCTCCGTTTGTGGATGTGCTTTTATTGTATTTTTGTGGAATTTGTTAATTTGCAAATGTAATTATATTCTCAGTCTATACTTTAAACTGATTTCTAGTAACTGCACACTTTTTATTTTATTGTTTATTATTATTTATCTGTGTTTGTGTTAAAATAAATCAAATCTAAGCCCTGATAATCCCTCTGTGCTGACTGAAGTCTCTCCTCGCTCTGCCTTTGCCTCGCAGCAATCGGTCGTAAAGAGCATTCACCTGCTGGGAGCGTTCCTGGCCTTCTTCCTGGGTCTGGCCTACTTCTGGGTGCAGCTGCTCCTGACCTACAGGGCCGGTCCGTCTCAGGACCGCTGCTGGGTCGGGCCGGTCCGGGCCGCCTGCTGCAGCCTCTGCACCCTGCTGGTCGTCCTGAGTATCCTTACTGTCTGTCTGCATGAGAGAAAACATATCCAGTACATGTAAAATCTAAGTTATGTTGAGTTTAAAGGTTTTATCTGTAACCTGGTCAGTCCAAAGGTGTCGATTTATACTTATTTAACATTAATGAGCTTACTTTTTGTCAAAATCCATTATGTTTAGCTATCTATTTCAAAGTCAAGTCAAAGTCAACTTTGTTGTCAATCTTTCAGTTTGTGTGTACGGACAGAGAGATCGAAATACCGTTTCCCACAATCTCGAATACAAAAACAAATATATATAAAAATATGTATGTAAATCCTATATATAAAAATCAACAGACACATTTATACATATGAACACATTAAGACCTAAATAAAAGCACAACAATCAATATATACAAAAATAACAGTCACTTCAATATCTTTGAGAATTTACATTAGTGCAAGACTGTCCATCGCAGCGTAAAAAGTGTCTGGTGCTGGAGTAAATAAAATATAAGTTATGTTGAGCTTAAAGTGTTCATCTGTAACCCAGTCAGTCCAAAGGTGTTCATTTATACTTGTTTAAAATGAATGAGCTTTAGTTTCATCAAAATCCATTATGTTAAGCAATCTATTTCAACCTTTAACAAACATTATTTTTAGTTATAAAACAACAATTTACTAATTTGAAGCTAACTATTGAATGATTTATCCATAACTTAAGTAAGCTAACTATTTCAAGTGTTTATGAATTACTTTGATCTATTTTAATCATTTATCTTACCTTTTTAACAATGTGTCCATTACTTTTTAGGTTCTTTTATCTGTTTTATATATGATGTTTTTTCTATTTAATCCATTTATCTTAAGCTTACGTTTTTAATATATGTCGTTGCCACACCTAAATCAATCTCAAGTTACAGTCGCTGTATTTATTTGTTTAAAAATAAAAACTGTATTTGTGCGACAGATTGCAGGACAGATTTAACTAAGGTTGAATGGCGCTGTATAAAGCGAGACATGTACAGTTTCTATTTTAAAAAGGTCCTTCATATTGATGGCGCCCATACAACCACAAACCAGAACAGGAAACACACACAAGAGGAAGAGAGGCCGAGAACACGAACATGAACTAGATCTCATTGCTCAGAAACAGGAAGATGTAGTCTTTGATCCTGTGTTGCAAATTCACATTTTACATGTTTTAAAGGTCACCTATTATGCGAAATCTACCTTTTCATGTATTTTCTACATCAACATGTGTCCCCTGGCTCTGTGTAAAGAGATTCTGAAAGTTTCAGGAAAAAATACTTTTTATCCTGATCCATTTATATAAAAACTTGTCTGAAAATGAGCTGATCAGATTTTGGCCACTTTATGATGTCATAACGATGTTTTGGCTTTTGTAACCATTAGCCAATCACCAAGCAAGGTAACCAGAAAAAAACCCGGAAGTTCTCAATACCAAGCTTTTAACATGTATTACATATAAAGTTATGAAAGAGATAAGGAGGAGAAAAGGCATGTGGAAGTAAGCAATGAATGTAAAATGTCGAAATCCTCTGTTTAACGCAATATCGGACACAGAAGACCGAGGGGGGAAGTCCCCTACGTCACCACAGCTCCCAGAGAGGAGGAGCAAACAGCCAGCAAGCGGGAAGGACGAAGGATTGTGGGCTCTCTTCTGCACGGCCGCCACTGGGAGAGGAAGCTGCAGCCTTTCTCTCCTCACTGAACAATCTTCTGCTTGTAACATACCCGCGCCTTTTTTAATTAAAGTACCATTTGAACCTTCTCAGAGACTCCATTTAGTCTCCTTTTAAAGCTTCTCTCCTCGACGCGAGAATAACGAACACAGCATAACACTGGCTTCCGAGTAAATCGCCAGAACGCGGACACCTCCTCATCTCCACCGCTCCCATGTTTTTTTTTTGTGTTGCCATAAGTTATTCTCTCCGTTGGTGCGCGGGGCTAATGCTAATAATGCTAATGCCAGCAAATACAATGGCGGCTTTAAAAAAAAATCAGAAATTGGTACTTTTTTCTCCCCAGGAAAGTACCACCTCTAACAGGCACTAACAATGGGGGTAAAAGTTCTCATGAACTAAGTTCTCTTTTTGGTTTGAACGCAAAATTCCAAGCACTACGGAACTAAACGGAAAAGGTACGGGGAAAGTAACCAAATCTCTCTCAGAGGGGCGTGGGGAGGGTAACAGACAGAGAATCAGCACTTTGGAAACAGGGCTGAAACAGAGGGGATTGTGGGTAATGATGCAATGATCTGGTTGGTGTTTGGAGCCAAACACTTCAGAGACATGTCCTGTATATATCTGAGACCTGTGATATATTGATGAAAAACAGTACAAGGGGGCATTTAAATCACTGTTAATACTTTACGTCATGCATTTCTTTAGTGCCACGCTCCTTGACTCCTCTCTTCTTCAGTGGTGGTTCTCCACAACACCGGTTCTCCCTCGGGGGCTGCGGTGTGTGAGTGGGTTCTGGTCATGCTGTTCTTCGGTCTGTTCGGCCTTTTCGCAGCTGAGTTCAGACACATCGACTGCCACCACCTCACTATCCAGAAACCATCTCTTGGGAATGCCTCAGTAGTGGTCAATAGTTTTGTTGTAGATGCATTTCAAACTGAAAACACAAAAGTACAATAACGTATATAAGTGCATGTGGTTCAAAAACAGCAATCTTCCGTCATAATGTATTGAATTCTTTTATAGAGTATCTGATATTACCATACCGTATATAATATATTTTTCTATAAACATAAGAAGTTAAAGTAAGAACGTGCAATAAAGATCTGTCAACATATAGATCTGCATATGTTGTTTATCTGTATATTTGAATTTCTAAAGAAAAGCTGCATTATAACCTGTAACAAAATGTTATGTTATATGTTGTCTCAAGTGTTTACAGCATTTACGTTCCTTTTAGTGTCGTCTAGCCGTTCTTTGATCGACCTGTGGGCATTGTCTTTCTACTATTTTTTTACAGTTACATAATTCATTGTTTGCCCCTTTAGATAAAAGAAAAGTAATCATATTAAAACTCATCAGGATTTCATTAATGTGTTGGACCTCGTGATTTAATTTGCTCAAATTACGCACAAAAGCAGAGAATCCTTCCAAATAGTAATTGCTTGAAAAACTAGTTGCAGATTAATTGACAAAGCTTTAAATACAAAGTGGTAGTTGCATGTACTGTAAAGTGTTTAAAAGTGGACAATACTGCAATTAATGTATACTAACACACGGTGGCACCATTCAGCTATCCTTCCCTCTGCACAGTGCTCTGACATTTAGTCATTAATCACCTTCTAACTGGAACCATATATGAGCAATTTATCCACATATCAATCACTCATGTAATCTCTAATATTACTTTAAACATATCCCTGTAATCCAACAAGGATTGATTTAATCTAACAATAGTTCTAATCAGAGTTTAGGTTTAAAATCAGTGAATCCAGAATTTAAAACTCACCAGAGCTCCACACAATTACAAACTAATCTGATTTAGTAAACCCACTGTATTGAGTTGTACCCCCTCAAGTGTACAATTGGAGTTTGAAGTTGTGCAACATAATTAAACTAAGCCTTAATTAAGATTAAAGACTACATTTAAGGTTTAAAAGAAGTTAACATTTAATCGTTCTCAAATTGTAGCTGTTTGTTGCAACCTAATGTATCCTAAAGTAGGAGTAAAAAAAAACCTTGTTGGTGCTTCCCAGCTTTAAACATGCGTTCATCTTTAAAATGTGACATGCATTCAGATATTCATAGACAGTGAATACCAGGAAAGGTCTGGCCTCCCTCTCCACCTGTCAGCTGGCTCGTACAATAGAGGAAGGGGAACGGAGGGTGAGCAGGAAAGGTTTTGTTAGCAAGAGAAAAGAAAAAAAAGTTTCCCAATGACATAATGCACGGTGAGAACCCACTAAGATACATGGAGGGGGCTTTTATTTTGAAGGGCTTTGCCAAACTTACTTAAAAAGCTCAACAATATAGGTATAGGTATTTGCTGCATGTATTTATATGCATATGTATTACACGCATATATTAATCAATGTTCCGGATAAATAATCGTGTGTATGAGGCTCACTGGCAGTGAATGTACAGTAGGGGATTCCTTTAGTCGTTGTTATTGTTTGTGTGTGTTCTTTGTCATTATTTGTTCTCTTTGTACATACAATCAGTACAGACCACTGTCTCATTTGTATGCATATGTTTAGCTTTCCATCTCTAAAGGAAAAACACTGTTTATGCATTGTCGAAACGCAATAAAAAGATTTTTGATCGGAAAAAGCTCAACCAAAAAGCATGGCACTTCAAAATAAAATCCTACCTGCACTTGAAAGATTCCCTTTCTCTCAAAGTGCCCTGACCAGCAGCGGCGCTGTGTAGCGACGCTGGCTGATTGTCTCACTGATGGGAAAATGCTCCTCTGGCTCCGTGCCTGCATGTTTTTTGAAAGATTCCCCTCGTTTAGACAGAGGTTGAACATTCATCACAATTAGTCAGGGCTGTTTGAGCTGGGCAAGACAATGGAGCCCTCTCAGGCATGCCGAAAGTGGGAGAGGTCCGACTCTTGGCATCCAGCGTCTCTGTTTATCTAAACACTATCTCGGGGTCTCTGAGCACCGTCTTTGGTCGTACTTCGTGATCGATTTTCACTCTTGTATGTCATTAAAAAAAAGAAACCTCTGAGGGCATTTGAGGATGCTTGATCTGGGAATACTGGGCCCCGGTGTCCTGCTCTGTCACGACAGCATTCTTTCACATACTCCACGCTGGGTGATCACCAGAGGGGGGGATCAGACTGGCAGATTGGAATTCTGTGGGAATTTCTCAAGTGCTATTGGTTACCAGCGTTCCTGCTGCACACGGCACGCAGATATTCTAACAGTTTAACAATGCTGTCTCAGGTCTCTGATGAACTACTCTCTAACTCTACAGCTGATTGGCCACATGGACTTCAGGTCGCTGATGTTAGTGGTGGAATCAAGTATTTTGTAATTGACTAAAAGTACTAATACCACATTGTAAATATACTCAATGTCAAGTAAATGTACTGCATTGAGAATGGAACTTAGTTAAACGTATTTAAGTATGATTAGGAGTATGCACTTAAAGTATTAGGAGTAAAAGTACTCATTGCAGAAAATACTAATTAAAAAATATATATTTTAAAGAAATTTAAAAAGATGGAACTGTGAAATATTTTTTGATTGCTGCTAATACATATTCTGTCAACCCCTTCATGAATGTTGTTACTGGTTAGGTTAGTTACTGAAATATAAAGTTGGATGCTTTAATCTATACCAAATAATCATATTTTAAACATTTTTCCTACTGTAAGTATTGTGTATCAAAATCTGAATGTATGTCTAGTAATCTTAAATAAATATAGTGGAGTAAAAAGTACAAAATTGGCTTCCAAAATGTAGTAGAGTACAAGTATAATATGAAAATACTCACGTACCTAAAATGTGTACTTAAGTAAATGTACTTTGTTACTTTCCACCACTGGCTGTTTCACCTGTAGCCTACTACAAAAACTAGACATGCATTTAGGAAAAGTTGACGCTTAACCTAATTATTTTTTGTGCTGGGTCTGCTGGAATGACAATGTGTTCTTGAATTACACAGCAGCTCATACAGAGGAATTCATTGGCAAAGCATTGGCGCCAAAATACCCTTCGCCCTGCTGTTTTCATTAGTGAGTATAAAAGGCGATAAAGTAATAAAGCTCATAGAATCACCTGTAGCGACGACGTGCAAAGACTGGGAGGCCCTTCATGTAAATGTCAGAAAAAAACATCTGGTTTTTCTATTGTAGGGTACGAGTTTATGTGACGCCCGCCTTGTTGGTTTTGACTTTGATTCAAGAAAGAGGTGCATGCTTTCTAGGCGCATGCTGTAATCTCTGCTAACACCTGCTCGTGCTCCAGTATCTCTTATCCCCTCAACAGCTAGCTAACAGAAACAATGGCAATGCTTTCCTAACACGCGGCGGAGCGCTCGCCTCCACATTCGCTATCAGACACGGCTTCTCTGAAACAGTCCGTCCGCTCTTATCATCCGAGACCCAAATCCTGCGCATTCCCTCTCGAAAGGCCACGTTATCTGCAAGACAGCTGGATCTGCCAAACTTGAAGACTTGGAGAGGGAACATGGAGTTGAAGGTTTAAGCCTGTTAGCCAGCTCATATTCCTATTGGGAACCTGGAAAAGTTGAGTACCCCAACGTTTTATGTAAGACATGTGCAGTATAGTAGGGGTCCCCAGCACATAGAAACTGCCGGATGCTAACGTGCTGGGCAATTTGCAAAACTAGCATAAGTTGCATTCATTAGCTTGAATTAGCATTATAGCCTGTGTGGACAATGGTTAAAAAATTGATTGGCAGATTTGGACACATTTGGAGTGGATTTGGGGGCTATTGAGGATGCTGAATCCATTTCTGTATCTAAAATAGCAGTTTTAACCAGAAAAAAAGGCCATATTTGTACTCCCGGTGAGTTGATTTTGATGAAATTAAGGTCAATTTTAAAGTTTTAGGGGACTCTGGATCATTTGCATTGGACAGATTGCTTTCTATTTGAAAACAAATTGTCCAAAGTAGAGGTAAACATTTTCATCTTGTGCTATCCTATGTTCGCAACACTACTCATGATACAGAGAGTACAAATATGGCCACTTTCTGGTTAAAACTGCCATAATTGATCCTGAAAATGTCAGAAATTGATTCAGCATCCTCAAAAACACTCTTCAAACATTCTACCAAATCCCTAACCCTAACCCTTTAATTAACGCAACTTATGCTAAATATGCACATTGCCCAACATACGCAAGTTAGCATCCGGCAGTTTCTATGTGCTGGGAACCTGTATTATAGACTTTTAACATAAAACTTTGGGATACTCAACATTTCCGGGTTCCCACTGCTGGCAACTAGACTGTTAGGGGGAAGGGTTGAGGTAAGGGGGGTAGAAAGAGTCAGGATGAGATTGACAGGCCCAGAAAAAAGAGGGAATTGTCCAGAAGTGACCGAGCCAGATCCCGAGAGAGATATAAAGACCTTGAGACATGCAACAGAAAGATGGACTGAGTGATAGAGACTGAAAAGAGAGAAGAGTGGGCACCAGCAGCCGTGATCTCACCCTCCTCTCCGCTCCTTTGGCAGCGTCTTCCAGAAAGCTGCCCTTTCGCTGAAAAATGCCAAGCTCACCACATTCCTCCGGCCACACAAAAGACCCTCCCTCGTCTCAGCTGCACGGGCACAATCAGACAAGGGATAATTATATAATTAGGCCGGCTGGTGCAGACAGGGATGGTGTGTTGGTGTGTCATATTTACGTTATCAGACAATGAAGGGTTTGGTCTTATCAGAGGAGGCAGCGGAGTGAGTGGGGGCTCCAGCTGTGGCACTTAGGGACAGATTGTCATGATAGAGAATAACGGGTCGATAGAACGACCTTCAGCATGTGGCCCTGCACACATCAGAGACTGTATTGTGGCCAGTGTGTGTGTGTGTGTGTGTGTGTGTGAAGAGGTGGGGACTTTTGGGGCTCCAAGAACCAGACAGGAGGTGAGAAACACAGAAGATTAGATTAATAACGATATGGTGCTGGATCTCTTTTATGCTATTAATTGTATGAAAACAGATATTGTCCCAATAATTTTGGCATCAAATTGAACTGTCAGTGTTTACAACAGTTCTATTTGCATTTGTAATATTACCACCCGAATATTACAATCTTTAATGCAGTTATTTTTATTTCTTTGCTACTTTGCTAATTTTAGCTATTTTCTTTTTGCTATTTTAATGGTTTGTTAGCTCATTTTAGCCGTTTGATTCTTATCCATTAGCTTACTATCTGTTTATCTATTACTCTTTCATTTTTGACTATTTACTCATCACTCATAACTTAGCTAACTAGCTAGCTCATTTCAACCATCTAATTGCAATGGAAACTGTCCACACTCTTATTTCAAAGTGATCAAATTTGATATGTGTGTCCAGACATCACCAACCAGAGATAGCACAGACGTTAACCACCAC